TTTTTTTGTGCCAAAAATGTAGTCCTTTGTTTGTGAGATGTGCAGTCAGAGCTCTCCTGACTGAACCGTCTCTAGAGGTCAGCGGCCCCCAGGCGCCTTGCAGCCACTGCCTGCTCCCACGGGTGGATGAACCCGGATGGAGGGCCTCTCAAGTGGGGAGGAGTCTTTGCAAAGCTCCCGGTGCCCTTGTCCTGCTCAGCTGTCAGTGATGGGCTTTTAATGACATCACTGGTCATTTTAGACAGGTGGACAACTAAAAATAGATCTCACTATGTCAACATGAAATATAAAAACATAAATCCACATAAGTGAAGTCCTGACATATGAAGGGATTACAATATTTTAAATTGTCCTCATAATGGCAGTTTGTGAAGGTGAAAACGCACCTGCCTCCTCTTAAAATAACTACTATCTGAAGGTTATAATTATTTACTGTTTTTTTTACCACCTATGTTTAGTTGTTATTAAGTGACCGTCACTCAGAAGAAGTGCTAATGAATACAGACTGAGCCTCGACCAGGTCGTGATGTCTACCTGCAGACCGTGATGAGGTTCTTCCGCTCCACCGTGACGCTCCGAGCAGACGCCTTCTTCGATGTCAGACCCATAGCCATTGCTGTCTGAACGCAGCCGGACTCCATCCAGCGGCGGACCCGACCCGGGGCCTTTTCGGGATCCGCACCCAGGCCAGGACCTCTCCCTTCGCCGGGCCTGCGTCCTTCCAGTACCCGGTGTCCTCTGCGGGGGGAGCCGCGGATGCTGCTGCTGCTGATGCGGCTCTACGAAGAGGAACTAACGGAAAGCTAGAACGGGTGATGTAAACGACTTCCGGTTAGTTCTTTCAAAATAAAACACACTTCCGCATTGCGATACTATAGTACTGCGGGAACCAGACTGATTTATTATTAGTTCCGAGCAGGAATGGACTGCGAAGGCCGATTGTAATCACTCCGTTTCTTCTTATTATGTTTCCGCCTAATGAATTGGCTTTTTGGGGGCTTTATCATATTCAAAAACTAACCAAACTTGACGGACGCGTCGTCTGCGTGAAAATTACGTATTTTAAAGTCGTCGCAAAAATCGCACAAGAAACGGCTCTTGAGCGATACTCTGTCAGGAGTATTTTTACTACACTGTATTTTTTACTTGAGTAATTTTATTATGAAGTACCTTACTTGAATAAAATTTCTGGTTTCCTACTAAATGGAAAACAAAAATGTTTTAACCCAAAATTCAGAAGACACAGATAGTTTTATATTAAAAGAAACTGATTTAAATTTTTTTTTTTTTTTTTTTTACTTTAATGAAATATTACCATTTTCATACTTAAAATACCAAAATTTCCTCTTAACCTTATGTTTTGGTCCATCTGATAATATAATCCCTAAATATTAAATTATTGACAATTTGATCAGTTACTCAGTACTTTTGTAGACTTTTTTCCAAATACTTTTTCCTCTTATTTCAGTAATATTTTGTACAGCTACTTTTTTTTTCTTTTACTTCAGCAAAAATATGTTAAAGTAGTGCTGCTCTTACTTGAGTTCAGGTTGGGGTACTTCACACTCCTTTCTTCAAGTCACACATGGAAAAAGTTTTAAAAAGCTATTATAAATGTAACTTTTACAGACAAAGTTAATGGCCATCTTGACATATTTTGGGAAGATAATGTACAAAATGTATAATGGATATCATTAGTAGTAGCAATTTCCTGCAGGTTTGAACAAAAAAAAATTTAAATAATAACTTTTTTATTAAATGAAAATATAAGCAAAAACTGTGCCCAATTACTGTGCTCAATAACAATTTATGTTCTCAGCACACAAACCAAACCTATAAAGTTCAGATCTTTCCGACTATGTACGTTCAATCATAAAGTCAAACAGTAATTTTAAAACAGTTTTTGGTTTGATATTGTGTTTAACACCTAAAAAAAAAAATTGAACAAGAACGTTTTTTCATCTTTTTAATAGAAAGATTTGGGTAAATTGTGACGCTATTGTAACTCTTCTTATTATGTTGTTGGTCACCTAGCACAACAAAAGAT